AAGTATCACAGACATTTTATAAATAAGAAACTTGATGCTCTGAAGTTTACACAGGCTGCTCAGTTTTAACTCAAGCCTATATAAATAAAGGGCTTATGCTCTTCCTGTTAATTTATAGTTTCTCTGTGTAAGTCACTATGGTATTCCCAATAAAGTCTACATCTTTCTTTTGAAATTATTTTTTCAGCTGTTGTGACACTGAATTCTATTATTTTGTTCTAACTGCTCAAACACCCTTGCAGTCTTCAATGCTGATTGGGTCTCTTCTTCTTCTTCTTCTTTTTTTTTTTTTTAAGATTTTATTTATTTATTTGACAGAGAGAGATCACGAGCAGGCAGAGAAGCAGGCAGAGAGAGAGGGGGAAACAGGCTCCCTGCTGAGCAGAGAGCCCCATGTGGGGCTGGATCCCAGGACCCTGAGCTTATAACCTGAGCCGAAGGCAGAGGCTTAACCCACCGAGCCACCCAGGCACGAGATGACTGGGTCTTTTCTAAATATAAGCATCTCACAAAATTCTACCCTAAGAAGCCTCTTTGTTTTCCCCTCCCTTGTCCATCTTAACAACTCCAGCAGCTTTAAATATCAGCTTTCTTTGCTAATTTCCCAAACCTTAAGCTTAAACCCTAAGCTTTAAGCTCCAGAACTAAAATTTTCAATTATCTGTGCCATCTCTCCAACTGACTGACTCAGCTGGGGTCACATTCACACCTGCAACACTTGCCTGTGACTGAGAGCACCGCACAGTGGGCTCAAGCGTACCTTCTCAAGGTTCTACTCTACAGACCTAATAATGTCACATAGAAAACTCCTCTCCATCATTTCTGACTTTCTTTTTTTTTTTTTTTTTTAAAATTTTTTTTTTTCTGATGGGGCGCCTGGGTGGCTCGGTGGGTTAAAGCCTCTGCCTTCGGCTCAGGTCATGGTCCCAGTGTCCTGGGATCGAGCCCCATATTGGGCTCTCTGCTCAACAGGGAACCTGCCTCCTCCTCTCTCTCTCTGCCTGCCTCTCTGCCTACTTGTGATCTCTATGTGTCAAATAAATAAATAAAATCTAAAAAAAAAAAAAAAAAAGATTTTATTTGTCTGAGAGAGAGAGCACAGGAGCAGGAGAGCAGGAGAGCAAGGGCAAGGTGGGGTGGGGGAGGGGCAGAGGGAAGGCAGAAGCAGGCTTCCTGCTGAGCAAGGAGCCCCATGAGGGGCTGGATCCCAGGGTCCTAGGATCATGACCTGAACTGAAGGCAGGTGTTTAACCATTGAGACACTCAGGTGCCCCCATTTCTGAACCTTTTTCCTGCTCTATTTACACTCTTTTCCATAGCACAAAACACTTTGTAACTTACCCTGTAATTTACTTTTTAAAACATTATATTTTTACTATATAACCACTAGAAGAAGAGGGATCTGTGTGTTCACTCCTCTATTCCAAATGCCTAACATTACCCCTGACACATAGTAGGCACACAAAAAAGTATTAGTTGGATGAGTGAATAGATGGCTTCCAAGAGTCTACTGCCTGTAAGTGAGGCAGAAGTTTTCAAAGCAGAGTTGCTGAGAAGAAAAGCCACACATACCCAGTCACATGGGATAGAGAGCCCCAAACCAACTCCTTTCTTGACATGTCCCTGTGGATGTCTGCTCAGATCCTATTATCTATTTAACATAAAGCAATCGTACTTGTTATGGTCTTTGACATCCTGCGTGGTCTGACCCCTACCCACCCCTCTAAGCCTTGTTTCATGGTATTTTCCAGTTTGTTTACTATACTCTGCCTTTACTACCTCAGGGCCTTCAGTCCCATTCTTTACTTTGCATTGCAACATCATTCCCCATGTCTATGCCTTCATACAGTTTAGCAATTAACCTTAACCATCAGTAACTCAAAGAGCCTCTCCTCCCCACTGTAACTAATGTGGCACCTGGTGCATGCTGACCCACTCCTCTCTATCAGAGCCATTTACACACACGAGCATTTCTGCATGCACACACACACACATGCACATACACTTTTTTGGTTTTTCTTTTTATGGTCCCCACACTAGAATTTAAGCTCAGTGAGTGCACGGATCCATATTTCTGATGACCACTAGTGTCTGGCATATAGTGAGCATCCAATATTTTTTAATGAAAGGAGGGATGGATGGATAAATGAAGGAAATAAGAAGATAATTATATGAATAGTTTTAATTTAATGACTTTTTGTCCCTCTTTGACACATTTTTTTTAATCTCTTCCACTATTCTCATATGCATTTGATAAATTCTACTGTGCAAACTCAGCTTTGTCTCCCATACATTCTCCCCTTTTCCCCTGTTGCTATTCTACTTATGCTATTCTCGGCTCTCATCAAGATCACTCAATGGATTGTTAGCTGGTCTCTTAGCTCTGTATTTATTTATTTCATTGGCACAATACTACCAAAGCAATAAGTCTGGAGACCTACCTTATTCACATCACTTCTTGAATCAAAATTGTAGTGGTTCGTTATTGACTCAAAAATCATGTCAAAACACCATGGTATTTAAAGTTCTCTAGTCTCAGTTCATTTTACATTACATATCCTGTTCCCTCCTAGGTGTGCCATGACTCCTAATATCACAGAACGTGCCATGTGGCTTCACACTGCAGCTCCTGGCTTAGAGCTATGTCACTCAATGTATACAACAATATCCTTTGGTTGCTAGTAATAAAAATCAAAGTTTGAAGATAATAAGTTCCTTTCTGAGATCTCACAGCTAGTAAGTAATCCCTCAGGATTCAAAACCAGGTATATTTGACTTCAAAGAACACCTTTATAACATCTAAACCATGATGGGTTATCTGCCCACCTCTCAAATGCCTACCTATCCTTCAAGTACTTGTTCCAGTGACATCTTTCAGGTAGTTTTCCAGTCTTGGAGATAATACCAAATACTTGTCTACTACCTGCTGGTTTAGAGCTAAGGAATCATACTTGCCCTTCTTCCCCGGAGAATTGCGCTCAACTGACTGCAGCAGCCTCGCTGGGAAGTTAGAGCCCAAAGGTCAACCAATGACTGATGGAGCATATAAAACAGGACCCCTTCCTGCTGTGGGATTTATGTTCCAAAGCACATTCCCTGTGGCTCAAGACAAAGATGAGAGTTTCCCTGAAACACAGTCTTTTTGGTGTCTTTCCCCTTCTCTCTCCTTCTTTTACAGGTTTCTCCTGAACAACACTCCCCTCATAAATAACCTTTACAAGAATTCCTGTCTCGGGCCTCCCTAAGACCCCTCCGACGGCAATTCTAAAAATTGCTGCCAGAATCCTTCTTTAAGATGAAAATTATGTTAGATATACTGTGGTTATGTTATTTATTAACATCACAGACCTTTTTCATAAAATTAATTTTGCAACTTTTCTGTAGGTCCAGAATTAGTTAAAAATAGAAAAGTTAAAAAGACAGCTAAAGCTCTTTTAAAAATGAAAATAGTATTTGAGCATCTTATGCCACTTGCCTCTTCAGTTGCTTCCCATGTCTCCCATTAAAGCTAGAATAAAATTCATTCCTTAACTGTCTGTTTGAGGTCCTAGATGATCTATAGCTGGGCACCTGCGCAACCTCATTTCCAACATTTTCCTGAGTTGCTCATATGTTCCCAGGCATACTAACATCCCTGCTGTTTTTGACATATGCCAAGCTCACTCCTAACTCATAACATGCTGTTCTTTCTGTTTGGAAATTTACTTGCTTACATATTCACATAGCTTCCTAACTCTATGATGTTCTCTTCTCAAATATCACCTTTCTAGAGATGACTTTTTTGATAATCCTATTCATAATTCTACTCCCCCCCCCATAGTCCCCATTCTTTTCCACATAGCACTCATTAGTATCTGGCATGATTTATATTAAATATTCTATTTTCTGGAGGAAGGTAAGTTTCATGACAGTTGGTAATCTTTTCACAAGAGTTAGGACTTGTCTTCAGCATCTTGAACAATTTATCACACTAGGTAGGTGCTCAATTGGTTCTTGTTAAATCAGTGACTGGAGACACACTTGTGTAAATGAACTAATTCCCCAAAGACTGCTCCTTCCCATAAAGAGTAAAAACAATGTAGTTGAAGGAAAAATCCTATGGCACATTAACAGTTAATAAGAATATAGGTGCCAAATATAAATAAAATTACAACTACATAAGATACTATAAAGCATAATTATTAAGTAATATGTACTCTAGACATGTATTCTCTCCTTCAGGGTACAGAGCCGAGGGACATTGTGTGTGGCATGAACAGGAAGGAGCCTTGAGGCTCCTTCAGTTCTGGAAATGTTCCATTGAAGAAGTGTTAAACTTAGACCTTATAAGGTAAGTAAGAATCATCTGGGTGCACAGAAGTCAGAAGGGCATTCTAGATGGGGATCCTGGGAGGCAAATGCAATGGGAGAAAAACAGGCAAGTAGAACAAAACACGCAGGCTCCTGAGCAGTTGTGGGAGTATAGGGAGTTTGGAGTGGTAGCTTAGATGACATAGCTGGGAGGGATATTAAAGCCTGATTAAAAAGAGCTGTGAATGAAAGGGCAAGGAATCATGATGTCTGACTTTTACAGAAATTATTTGTTTTCCCACCTCTTTGCCCATTTAGTTTTTCTTTTTTTTTTTTTTTGCCCATTTAGTTTCTGATTCTCTAGAAATAGTATCGTCTGTCCCAGCATCATTAACATATATCAGTAAAAAATACCCTAATACATTATAAACTGTCAAAATTCCATGTATGTGAAATCCTACAAATGGCCTTTAACTTAGACAATTTTCAAATAATATCCCCATAATATCACTGGCAATATGATAAGGCCTTGACTTTCAAGTTGGAAAAATACAACATGAAATGTTAATGACTTTCATAAAGTGATACTATAAATTATTTTATCTGCTTGTAAAAATGATTATAATGCCAACAAACCTGGAAAGAACTGTAACACTAATATACTGAACATATTGCTCCACATTCTAGACTATGTCAGAAATACATCATACCTGTGGGTCTTTGCAGATTCTTTTGTACTAAAATCCTTCTCAGAGTACCGTCCATGGCTGCTTCTTCTATGTGGGAGTGGTCCCCAATGACAGTCCAGTACATCATCCTGACGAGACAAGTCAAATGGATTAGCTTGCAGCTAACTCAGCTCTGCTCCTCAAAACAGTTTCCCTTCAGACCATGTGCATCAGAACCACCCCCGAGTCCCTGAAAATGCAGACTCCTGGACCCAACTCTAAACCTACAGACAGGGAATGTCCAATAAGAGCAGATGATTAGGAGTTTTATTTAACATTTCTCTATTTTCCTTTTAGGTCATTGCCTATAAATGAAAAAAGTAAAAGAGTAAAAAAAGGAACAATTCAAGCAAAGGAAAGGAAATATTTGTGTTAAAATTGTTTAAATTTGTTCATATGTACATCTTCATCTTTTATTATCACAAATGGCCAAAATACTAATACTCCATACTTCATATGTTCAATATTATAGTTAATGTCTTGAAAATTCAATCTTAGGTTAACCATATTGGTTATGTGTTTATTGAAATGTCCACATAACACACACACACATTCATACATAGAATATATCATGCAGCAGGCTTTCAGGAAAACATGTATTTTGTGCCATGATTTGGTGTGAAAAGCTCATGCTCTTGTACAGAAGTAGAGGAAATTTTAGAAGCCTTGTGAATCTATTATATGTTGAACATTTATTACAGAAGGAAAACTACAGAGAAGAGGTGGGAAAACAATCCCTAAAAATGGATATGCGTATCAAGAAATATAAATAGTCAACTTGTTAACCTACCCTCTTTTAGGATTTACGGCGATAGCATAGGGTTCTCCAGCCATGTTTGTTAAGAGTCTGGTGCAGTTGGGGCCATTCAGCTGCCCCACATTGATAGAGTACCTCAGACTGGTCCAGTGAGTGGTGTAGTAACTGAACCAGTGCATTCTAGAATGATCAGTCCAATAAATATTTCCAGCAACCCAGTCAACTGCAATGTCCCTGGGCCTTTTAAATTCAGGACACTGAAAGAAAACAAAACAACACCACAGTATTTTCAAAAGCAAAGTAGTGGAGGGGAGGTCTATATACATTAATATTGTATGGGAATGATATCAATATGGTCAGGTGTTTTACACAGGGTTTTAAAATATCTAAAATGTTCCATTTTATTCTTAATTTTTATAGGTATAATTTCCACAAATCTTAATTGCAATATTCATGGAAGTTTAACCTATCACTGCCTTTGTATAAACACCTTTTTTTATAGGTGTAGACAGTCCACCTGTGACTTCTCCCAGTCAGGATTCTTCTGAGACTAACCATAATTGTGATGTCTAACAAAATAGAATAGTTTAAGAAATCCATATAAATAGTATCATACTGTTCTACTTCTGATTTCTTTTATTCAACATTGTATCTATGACATTCATTCATACTGTTGTATATGTCAGTTACTAATACTTTTTTATGATGGGTAGTCATTCATTTTATGAATATGCTAACAGTTTTTTCACCATTTTACTGATGATATCTATTTGGATTATTATAGCCTTAGGCCACTGAACTGAAGCCATGAATATTCTTGTACATGCATTTTGGTGGACACAAAAATTCATTTCTGTTGAGTATTTAACAAGGAATAGAATTGGTGAGTCTTAAGGTATACATATACTTAGCTTGGATAGATACTGCTAGCATTTTTTTTTTCATAAAGTTTTTTACCAATATACCTCTTCTAAGCAATTTAAGGAAGTTCCAGTTTTTCTGCATTCTCACCATATATAATTTGATTTAAAAATTGAAAAAAAAATATTAGTATATATGGACACATTTAGAAAGGCACTGTAAACATATTTTAAGGAAAGTTATAATATGTCTCATTTATATTAAATGCACAAGCTTGGATTTTCTGCTTTATATTGTATTATTGAGTTATTGTAAGACAGAAAAGTAAAGGAGTTCTTTGCAAATAGACAGTGAGGAAAATAACATACACTCTGTGCCCTTCAATTAACTTGGACAATTCGGAGTAGGAACTAGTGTCATAATTAATTTGACATGGTCAAGTTTATTGTGCATAACCAAAAGTGAGAAAGGATACCCAGGGGTATTATATCACAAATGGAAACAATTATTTGAAGGTGATTATGACTAGACATGTGGTCAATGTGTAAGAGCATCATTAGGACCTGGCAACCAGTGGAAATATGGGTTTTTAACACATGATAGTTTCTTGAGTGAATTACTAGTGAACAAATTTTACTGAAGGAGTGAGTGGACTTGGATTAAAAGAAGAGAAACTAAACTCAAAGAAGAACATGAAATGTCAATAAACAAGAATTACAAGCCACTGCCTGCTGTGTGATTACTGGGATCTCAAGGAAGGAAAATGCGGCCTGAACTAAACGCAGAACCCATAGAAATTCCTAACAACTTTTATTATCAGTCCTTTCACATATTGATTTAAAAACTGAAATTATGAATAGTTACCTATTTCTCAACTCTACCAATAGATACTATCCATCTACCCAGTGATAGCTCAGTGATGTTTAACAAAAAGCACTCTGCAATACAATATGCTTTAGAAACAGTATAAATAATAGTCACAGGTGGGCAGAACATAAATATTTGTCCTAGGTAAACCACAAAATTATTTTCAAATGTTCCAGTATTTAAATTAACTGTAATTTTCCCCCAGATTTGGCAGTGTTTAAAAGTAAATATATGAACAAATGGCATGGACATGTCAGTGTAAGTCATAAATTTATAAATATGACAGACTATGGAGAAAATAAACATTATAAGCTGTTTAGAGTTCGCTGGAGTTATTTATAATCTTCTAACACTAGTAAAGCAAACCCTCAGCATGCAAAAAAATATGATATTGGTTATCTGGCATGAGCATGGAAAAATATCTAGTTTCCCTTTATCAGATGTAAATATATACACATGATTTCTTATCCTAATAATATCCTTTCTAAAATAGAACAAATTCCATGCAAAGTTCCACTTTTTGAATTTAGGATTTTCATTTTGTTTTACTCATTCTAAAAAAAAAAAATGTCTGATTATCTTTCCATTCTATACTTCTACACATGGACTGTGGACAATTAAAAACCCAAATTCTTTATTTTCATAGAACATTCAGAAGATTGATTAAGTTATACTTTGTCAAGTACGCAGGTTTGCGAAGATTCTACTAATGGCAAATTCTAGAAGGATAAAGCAGATTTATGTCACATTACTAGGGTAAAAAATATGGCTTAGGGGAAGGGAAAATTGTTACTTTCCAATGCGAAGCACAGATATACCAATGGATTCATTTAAATCTATACATTTACTCTCTGATTCCCTGATCAAGAAATCCCTAATGTCACTCCAGTATCAACTAAAGTAGTTAGAATATGGGGTAAAGGATGCCACACCCGATAAATTCAACCTATGGACATAAATCACCAGTGACAAGATGATTCTCAGAGAATAGTGGCATCAGGGTGAAGATGTTACCCAATGTTCATCTTCATCAATTTCACACCATACCGAATGCTCAATGATTCTCAACACTGAAAAGAACTGAACAGAAGAAGAACAATAACAAGAAAGCAACAGGATGCTCCTATTGTCAAGGAAATTATGACTGAAATCATATCACCCTTTATATCATATCAAATCACCATTTATCGGGGAACCTGGGTGGCTCAGTGTGTTAAGCCTCTGTCTTTGGCTCAGGTCATGGTCTCAGGGTCCTGGGATTGAGCTCTGCATAGGGCTTTCTGCTCAGCAGGGAGCCTGCTTCCTCCCTCTCTCTGCCTGCCTCTCTGCCTACTTGTAATCTCTTTATCTCTGTGTCAAATAAATAAATAAAATCTTTAAAAAAATCACCCTTTATAATGGGCTCCATAGCCCCTCTACTGCCCATAGCTTGACCAGGATTGTGAATAGTATTAGCCATATAAAAGGGACTCTAGTATTAAACGGATGTTGGCTGGAGAGTGGTAGGTAGAAATTCCTGTTGGATCTTGATACAATAAAAAGAGAATTTATGGAGAGGTTCAAAATCAAACAGGTGAGTACAAAAGTGCAAAGTAAAAGTAAACTGAGGTTCTGGGGCATGGAATGGAGTCTGACATGGGACAATAGAAATGGGAAAGCTAAGCATTTGCTTCCAAAGAGGTGAAAAACAAAACAAAACAAACATCAGATTCAAAAGAAAAAGAAAATATAAAACTCTCATTGCCCTTTTGGCTAGCTTACTAGACAGGCCTATGAGCTAGAGGCACTAATGAAATATGTCATGTTGAAGAGACTGTAGAGGCAAGTGGTTACCCTGACAACAAAAGATGTTGCTCATATTGTTGCACAAAGTGGAAGATACATTTTGACTGCTTTCTCCAGACAGATGATTTCTTTCCTAATAAGCTCTCTAAATACACAGCCAAAGTTTTGAGGCCTGAGGCATTCTTCCTTGTGGAGATATATTAGTCCAATGAATGAAACACTTAAATCTTACAGAAAAATTGGCAGCTTGATTGTAACAAAATTAGAGGTTACTACTTTAAACTACTAATCCTTTACAACTGTGGATTGTAAGGTATCAGTCACAATTCCAGCTTCAGGAAACAAAAGATATATGTCACTGGAGACATTTGATTTAAATTAAGGAAAGAGGAAAACCTATGAAGTGGGACTTCAAGCATTTGAACCATGGAAATACTGCCATCTTTTTAAAGAAATTTCCTATAGTTAACAATATACTTTAGGAAAATACAGTTAACATGAGGGTAGATTGAAGTAGTCATGTATTTTATCTATGTTATTTTTTCATCTAAGAAAAGGAAATTTGGTTTATATTACTAAAGTTAATTATCTTGTAATGTAATAATATTAAAAAAAGATGTAAAGCCACTCTAAAGATGTGTGTGCATGTGTGTGTGTGTGTTTCATTTCACTAAATGAAAAAGCTATTTACACTCTTGGCCCATAATATATGAATCAGATTAAATTCTCATAAACCAGGAAATAGAAGTAAAATAATGACTATGCAAATTCTGAACATTACTAAATTATATGGCTTAATAATATTATAAGATATGTAGATATATATTATTTCAATCTAGAAGCTCATACAGCAATGGGGAAGTCCAAAAAGAGCCAAGAAAAAGTTATATTTGGAGCTAGAATGTATAAGAGTTCCTAAAACACTTCAGGAAGGAAATCCCTGGTTTCTACCTACAATTTATTCTGAAGCACAGATTATCTCAATCTGGGTAATTTTAAACCTCTATTTATCTAACTTAAGACCATGTCCACCTGGCACAAACTCTTCTTGGAGGAGGGGCACTTGGGTGGCTTGGTGGGTTAAAGCCTCAGCCTTTGGCTCAGGTCATGATCCCAGGATCCTAGGATCAGGCCCTATATCAGGCTCTCTGCTCAGCGGGGTGCCCCCTCTCTCTGCCTGCCTCTCTGCCTACTTGTGATCTCTGTCTGTCAAATAAATAAATGAAATCTTTAAAAAAAAAAAAAAAAAACTCTTCTTGGGAGGCAAAGAAACTATATAATTCTTGGACAATTTCCAAAAAAGACCACGTTTGTCTTTGGATTATAGACTCAAAATTGAATGTGACTTTATCTTTTTTTTTTTTTAAGCATACTTAGTGTTATTTAAACTTATTCATCTTTTACCACTCCCCCCTCCAAGAAAAAAGCAAAACTGGCTAAGAAAACCTTCTTCACACTATCAGGTAAAAAAAATATGGAAGATTAAAAAGCACATTAAATTTGGAAGCAGAAACTTGGTATAAAACCTAATTCTAGTTTCTCCATAAATTATTTGATATATAAATAAAGGCTTTAGATCAGATTATCTGTAAAATTTTTTAGATTCTAAACATTAAATGATATAACAGTTTAAAATATTAACCATTCTATTAACCTGCATTTTACATAGCTTTAAGGATGTATCTAATGTTAACAGTGAATTTTCATGCATTAGTATGTGAAAAATTTGTTGGTACTTATGGGA